TGAGTCTTACCATGCGCGAGAACGGGTTGGCAGCTGTACAACAGGGGTAACACCACAAGAGAGCGTGCGGAACTGAGGTTGAGGGTGGTGATACCGATTCCACCCGTGGTACCTTTAAAGTGCAGCACTTACGTCAAAGATCTCCATGAACACGCTTTCAGCGGCAGAAAACAATCACAAAAGAGAGGGCGTAGACCAGTAACCCGTTTGGCTATGGTTAGGCTGTGGCTGGCCGCGCGGCAGCGTCGTGGAGTTTCAAACGACATATCGAACCTTCGTTCCCGTGTACTTTTGTAAGGAGAAAACGGCAAGCTACTGCAGCGGCGGACCTATTCACCTCGCGCATTGCAAGAATAAAGATAATCGGAGGTGAGTTTGTGTCTTTAAGGCACTGAACCATCAGAGTACGAACAATGATGATGCTATGAATCGCCGCTTTCCCAACTCGCCTCCGAAGTGAAAATCCATTTCTGCTTGGTGGCCTTCACGTTACCTCGCTCGTAGACTTGTTTGGATGGATTCAGCATAAGAACGCTGCCGCAGAAGCGCTCGTTCCTCTTCGTCTTTAGTGGTCGTTCCTAAAATTGATTACACCAACTCTAACATGATACTTCTGAATTCGCGCCCATCATCACTCGCTGAAGGGTCACAGAGTTGCATATGAGACAGGCCATCGTAATGAGCCCCGAATTTGGCTGTGGCGATCGACGCGCGGCACACGCCAGAGAGGCTGCGCTGGCCTTCTGCCGTTCAAAACTGAATGGTAAAGGGACGGGGAAATTTCATATCGCTCGTTAAGGTTTCTTGTCTGAGCTGGAATTTATATGAGTTCCGTTAAAATCGACACAAGTTAGATGCACCCTGGAGTTTGTTCGCGATCAACGCACGATACGCCAAACGCGACGACGCGACAAATTTCGATTGTCTTGTTCGCCTCCTGCAGTGAGGAGCTCATACTATGCATTCGCGCGCGTTGCACGCGTAATTAGACAAACGGCTTCCACACGATTGTTCAGGATGTGAATCCTAATCACTTCCCGAGTCCTGTCTCATTAAAGACACATGGTACGCTCATACACATTGAGGGTGTATGAGACTATCAGCCCCCCCTCAGATGTCGATGTGTCGTGGTCCCCCCCCAAACATGCCCAGGAATGGAGATACAGGGCCGTGAAACACGCTAGTTCTTCCATGCTCCGCCCACTGCCTTTTTACGGCGCAGATTCCCCGTTCATAACATCCGTCGTAAGCGCGCCTGTCGCGTGCGGCTCCTTGGCACTTTGCCAAGTCCTTTAATTGCGCTCTCAAATACAAGGAAAACGCAATTTCTTGATGCGGAAACACTGGAGGTGCTGCAAAATAAGAACAGAAGATGATGACGAGGGCCAGAACTCAAGAGCAACTCGGCTGCATCTGCAGTATCCATCAGAGGCCGCGCATTCCCACAAAACATGAAATAAAAACAACCAAGCGTCCCACTCGTTTGTTCTAACTAGGGAAGGTCGTCAGGCCGGTCGAAGTGGCCATTTGTAATGAGATGTAGCTCACTAGACGTGGTTTTGGACGCTGATCTCGAATCTGCCTTTGAAATTTGCAGAACGATTCTCTGAACGGAGTTATGGAGCTTTTTCCACCGCGTTTACCACGCAACAGGTCGTGGGATCGGATCCCTGCTGAGCTTTTTTTGCTTCTTGTGCAAACGTGGCAAAAAGTGGTTGTAGCGTCACTACTACATTAGCGCTCTCCTTGACTTGCCTGAAAAACAGTTTGTGTTCGCTTACTGGCGCGCTTAGTGCCTTATGATCTAGGAGATGTGCAGGTGCCCTTGGCTCGGAGTGCAGGCGTTTTCGCGCTGAGCGAGTGCCATGTACGAGTTTATCGGGGCGAACTCCGCCTAGGTAAAGGTTCTAGCCAAATCTTGGCATTTTGACCCGAATTCGGAAAGTGAAGCATCCATGGGTTAGTTCAATTGATGTTAACACCTATTCAGCTGCAGATACATTCTCCTGCACAAAGCCTCGTCTCCTCTCTTCTTACGCATTCATTTTATTACTGCTCCAGTTTTCCTGGTATCTAAAAGCAAATTCTGTCCAAAGACAAGCAATCGACAAGAGACTGGCCCTGGAACTATTGGTGACCATCATTCGATCAACTGCTACCGCACTTTTCAAAGTTAGGTCAAAACCTCACATCTGGCTAGAAACCTGTCCCCAAGGGTAGTTTTGCTCCCTGAACACGAATATGGCACCCATTTGGCGTTTGAGTGTTTTCTAGACTTAAAAGAGACATTCCCCACAAAATGCAAAAACGAGCTTCACTCCAGAAATCCGAACCCTTCACAGGATGCCCGCCAAGCAAGACCTCTACACTACACCATGCCGCCTTCGACCGTAGTGGTGCTTCCCGGCTATTCATGCGAATGGCCGGCACCGCGCTCGACTCTGTTTCCTTCATTTTAATTCTAACAAACCTTCATAATTCCGTTCAGAGAATCGTTCTGCAAATTTCGAAGGCAGATTCGAGATCAGCGTCCAAAACCACGTCTAGTGAGCTACATCTCATTACAAATGGCCACTTCGACCTGACGACCTTCCCTAGTAAGTATTTCTATGGCTTTGGCGCCGGATCGTAGAAATTTACAGGCCAGTTTATCTAATTTGCCTTTCCTTGATTTTTTCATTTTTGTTTTGTTTACATTTACATCGTTGTGCTTCATTTCTAGCCTGTGTCATCTTCATCTCCTTGTACATGGATTTTGAAGCATGAGCAACACCTAAAATTTTATTCGCATCAGGAAATTGCCTTTTGCTTTATTAAACTAACGAGTATGCCGTTTTTATTTTCATGTTTCGTGGAAATACGTGGCCTCCGAGGGATGTTGCAGAAGTGGCACAGTTGCTTTTAAGTTCTGACCCTCGTCATCATCTTCTGTTCTTATTTTGTAGCACCTCCAATGTTATCCGCATCAGGAAATTGCGTTTTACTTGTATTTGAGAGCGCAATTAAAGGACTTGGCAAAGTGCCAAGGAGCCGCACGCGACAGGCGCGCTTACGACGGATGTTATGAACGGCGGGAATCTGCGCCGTAAAAAGGCAGTGGGCGGAGCATGGAAGAATTAGCGTGTTTCACGGCCCTGTATCTCCATTCCTGGGCATGTTTGGGACCACGACACATCGACATCTGGGGGGCTGATAGTCTCATACACCCTCAATGTGTATGAGCGTACTATGTGTCTTTAAAATGATAGGCTTCCGTCGTTAATCGACTCCCTTGTGAGAAGCGGCAAGCATCCTTCTTCCACATAGGATCACAGTGATATTGAATCGTGACTTACTCCTACACATTAACGAACACGGTCAACCGATGGAACTGTCAGTGCGTTATTATCCTCCCAGACGGATCTGGTACAAATCTACCGTATCTGGACGGTGGAATGCTTGGCTGGTCCTCGTTGAAGCCGAACTGGAATTCGACACGTATACCATCCGTGTGCTACATGGGCCTCTCAATACTAAACCACCGCCCTTATTTAATGAAACGAATTTTCGCTGCAATGGTGAAAATACCCAGCTTTTCAGAGAGCTTCACGTTTTCAATTACCTAAACTGTTCGATGCGCACAAGTCATTACAAGGAAAGTTATCGAAACGTATGCACAATGCGGCTTTCATCCAACAATTACAACTCAAAATCGGGGGAGGGGGCGGGGTTACTTCCCAGTCGCGTGCCCTATATCTCGACAGACACAGCACAGACAGAGAGAGCTAGTCGACGGTCCACGGAAAACTTGAGCTTTAAATCCTTTGAATGCGTCTTTCTTCTGTTTTTCTCTGCACTCTCTCGTCCTATGGCAATCTTGGTCATTGTGACCTAGCCCATTCCATCTTTTCACATATGAACAGTGGCTCACCCATCGCGGAGGCTCCTTTCCTTGAAAAAGTCTATATCCTGGCTTGCTACACGTTTCTTTTGCAGTTCAATGCTTTGGTAGTCGCTGTCCTCTGTTTGTCTGCGTTGCGTTATTTTGCAACAGAATCACCTTCAAAGTTCAGGAGGCACTTAGCCCTGCAGAGAGAGCCGACGCGCCGCAGCACTGCTACGCTACATTCACTTCAGGTGGATCGATCATTTTGCGCCAGACCGTTTCCCACTCAATTCTTGACGACATACATACGAGCTTCATCAAAAAAGTCGTAGGGGAGAAGGCGTCCCCGCCAAAAGTGGATGTCATATCTATGGTCGAGGTACCGAGCAACGGCAGGTACGAGCGTGCAAAGCTTCGCCAGAATCTGATGAAGAGCTTGAGGTTCTTATACCTGAGACCGCGTTTATACTGTTGCGATACAAGCTACTAAAAGTCGTGTGGCACTGCACTCAATCTCTAGTCGTTGGATCATTGCATGATTGCAATAAATAAGTCGTGTCCTGAGGCGGAGGTGGTGTAGTGACAAGTGGCGCGCTTACCACTCGCGCGGCACCGGGTTCAAATCCTGGGTCGACTCCCGTCCATGCCAACATCGGCTGGCCACCGCAAGTCATTGTATAGGCCACATCGCATTCAATAAGCCACTACGATTCTGAATGGAAGTAGAATGCGTGCCGCATCCCACAAAGGGATTGATTAACGGCGAAGACTTTATCCAAGCGGCGCCAAAGCATCGAAGTGCGCAAGAATTATATAGCGAGCTAGGATATGGGCTTTTTCGAGGGAACGAGACTGAGCGGTGAGTGAGCCGCTTATCCTTTGTGGAAACCGGAAAAGAGGTCACGATAATCATAGAATAGAAAGAATGCAAAGAAAAACAGAAGCAAAACGCATTCGAAGGGATCATGTTCAAGTTGTTGTAGACCGTCCACGAACTCTCTCGGCGCTGTCTGTTTAGTCAACTAGCTAGAGCGCGCTTATTGAACCAATAGTTGCGGGGACCCAATAAACTGGCGGTGGAGCACGCTCGGTCGCAGTTCCACGATTATTAAATGTCGTAAAGTATGAACGCGGTTCAAATAGCTCTCGTAATCTCATAGCGAATCTCGTAATCTCTGATACAGTTCTGAAGGAACACAAGAATTCGGAGAAAAGTGCAAGCAGAGCTCCGTCGCTCAAAAATGTTTTGTAATGGACACTTAAAGGCAGTTGGCACGATGGTTTCCTACTTAGCCTAAAATGCTAGTAGGGCGCTGTATAGTGGGGAAATGGCGAAAGAACGGAGTGAAACGGTCAAAATCCTGCGAAGAAAAAGCCTCCGTTCTCAGTGACTTGAAAATCGATTTCGGACGAGTTTCCCGTAGGCATCTTGCCAATCACCGCTACCGAAGATACGGCTGCATATGTGTACCCATATATGCATGCAGCATCACGGCCGCTTCATACCAATCCCTTCGCTTCATAATTTGCTTAGCAAATGAATGAATACGAGCGTCAGGAACGGTCGTCCATTTGTGGGCGGGCGGGCGTGGCGGGCGTTTGGGACGTAAAGTTGTGGCTTGATAGGGCCCTTATAAGGGCACCTTCCTCGGGGAAACCGCTATGCAGCGCCTGCCCAGGGTCGCGGAATTCTATCCTGCCAGGAGTATTGATCCTAGTCGTCTTGGGGGATTTATCGTGCCAACTGCCTTTAAAGCACAGAATAAATTGTTAAAGGAGTGCGACAGGTAGGGGGTGGGGTGACTAAAATTTACTTGTGCGTTCGAAATTCACCTGAACCTCCTCAAAATCGTTGAGTTCGTCACGATTTTCTTCCATCTTCGTTTTTTTCTCCTCAGATTTCTGTTCCACTGGTGGCTCACCCAGCGTTTCAGATCGCATTCCTATGACATGCTGAAAAACGAAAAGTGCGGACAGTGAAATAATAAAAAATGAAAAAGTTGACACGTTAGAACGTAAACACTGAAAATTTCGGGAACGTGACCGATTTCAACATGTTTTGTGACGTAACTGAACAGCAAGGGATGAACGGCCCCCGTTCCAGAAAAAATAGCACAGCCTCAACAGTTTTATGATCAGTGAGCAGATGACTTCAATAATTTATTAGTCTTCTTACCTGTTCCGTTGCCTAAGTTGAAGGGTAACCCGTTCCCAAGACGTCAAGTTCCTACGACATAAAGACCATATCGGGACTGCGTCTTCGTAAATCATTTGACCATTTCTACAGTAGAAAAACTACAAGCGTGGTGCTATTCCCAATAAGAACTTGTTGATGTTACTTATGTAGGGGATGTAGGAGAAAAACTCTTACGATTTTACCGCGAAAGAAGCTCACAATTCACAGAATTTTTGACGGTTTCTAGTACTAGTCAGCCCCTGATGAAGAGTTTCCATAAGTAGTAAACAAAGAATCAACACAAGATTTCTTTTCCTGGAGCGATAATTTACAAGCCGCTCAATAGTCAGTGGAAAAGTTAACTGAACGATTAAGAGATATTAACGACCGGACGAAGTGGCACTGAAAACGAGTCAGCTACTGTAAGGCAGTCAGCGCGCACAAAAACTAGTAGACATCGTCCCTTGTATTAGGTTGGCGGGAAAGTTCTGTCACATTTTTTCAAATTAGACTTTCTTTTTACAGAGAGGCGTACAAGATCAAAATTATACAGCAATTATTGAGAGATCCTTGCCAGTTTTTGGACAGTTCGTGGATGCCATCGCTTAACAATGCACGCCGGCGCGACGCAAAGTTGGACATCATCTCAACTTTGACTTGGGCTCAAGTCGTGGAGGTTTTCTCGGCTGTATAACGGTTGAATACGGGAGGCGACTAGCAGTCAGAAAGAGCAATGTCTGGACTACACCGGTGCAAGGGGAGAGCCATCCAGCTCTATTGCATGAAGTACGGCTCGAACTTTTTTTGACGGGGTGTGCTGCACCAGCACGTTGAAGACGGACTGTGCCGATGGATTTTGCCCTCTGCTTGACGATTCGCTTCAGATCTCGTAGCTGCCTTGCGTACGGATTGACCGAGGAGGCAGCTTCTTCATCCAGTAGTTTCCCGACCCACCGCTATCTAGAGCTGAGTTTACAGGTACTCCCGAACCTCACTTCGTCATTCGAACCGTAGGCTCCCGCTCTGAAGAGCTAGCGTCGTGGAAGATTGTCTGATGACTGTAGACATTGTCCTTGTGCAGCTCCATTATTTCGGCGTCGACAGCTGCCATGCTGGCGCCAGGGTGGTAGAAGAAATAGTTTAAGGAAGCGCTTGAAGGGGTCGGTGCTGAAGGTAGCGGATAACATTCTTGTCCATAATGCAGAAAAGGGAAGAGCAGGAGCCGAGCCAGTGAGACTAATAGAAAGGATAAAGGATAAAGTCTTCGCCGTTAATCAATCCCTTTGTGGGATGCGGCACGCATTCTACTTCCATTCAGAATCGTAGTGGCTTACTTGAATGCGATGTGGCCTATACAATGACTTGCGGTGGCCAGCCGATGTACAAGTCAGTGTTTTATCCTCCCAGACGAATCTGGTACCTTTACCGTCCCCGGAGGGTAGAAGGCTTGGTTGGCCTGGGCGGGAGTCGACCCGGGATTTGAACCCGGCCGCGCGAGTGGTAAGCGCGCCACTTGTCACTACACCACCTCCGCCTCACTAATAGAAAGATCAATCCTTAATGTATAAATGCTCACATTACCGGTTAGCCCTCTTCAGGTAATAGGCGAATACTTGGGTTCAAAAAGTATGACAAAACTTTCCCGCCAACCTAATACTAGAAGTCTGGTGCTCATTCTCTAAGACTGTCCCATTTTCGCGGCACAGAGTAAGTGACGAAGGAGCTGTCAACAGAAAAGGATCTCTGACAACTGCGCAGTTGCCCCACCCATTGAAACTCAAGGGCTATTTTCTGACACAAGTTCGGTCCCCCCCCCGGCTTTTCCTTTTCTTCCATTGTTAGATGGTACTGAATGACGCGAATGGATTACTGAGATCGAGGTAGCAAGATGTCGCTTTGCTGGCATAAAAGGAGCAGGCCGGAGAATTCGTCGGCATAAAAGGAGCAGGTCCAGAGAACTCGTCCAGAGAGGCCGCCAGGTCCCTACTTAGGGTGTTCTTCACGGTTTTCCTTTCGCTATTCCTCCCTGAAGGCTTATTTAGCGACTATAAGCTTCTGACTGAGTGCCAATCCATAATATACCAACCCGGGGTTTGTTATTGGTTTTTTTTATACAGCAGAGCTGAGCCATTCACTACTGTGTCACCAGTTTCAAACTCGGTCAGGTGCTAGTGCCTCGGGAGATGTGTAAGCATTCTCCATTGAGGCGATCCCGTATGATTCCGGCGATTCGCTGATTTTCCCTGTTTCACGCGCGCTAAGCAGTCGCGGACGGAACGAAAAGGCGTATCCGGAAGGATGAGTTTGGCACGGCACCAAAAACGTTCTCCAAGAGTTGTTGGAGCAGGTAAAAGGCAGCAATTGGTGGAAACGGCTGATACGAACGATGTATAGTCTTATCGCTTGCTCGCTTCAACAACAGGTGAAAAACGGGTACGGCGTCGAGCCGAACCTAACCCGAATCTGACACGCCTCTCCATCAGCAGCGAAGACGAATATATGCTTCCCCTGACTGCGCCAGTCATTATGAAATCATAGCACCTGATATAGGTTTCATCACATCATCACATCAATCTGCACCTTCATGGGGTCGCCCTCGTAAGCAGAGTGGGAAGCTGGGAAGGTATTATCATCTCAGTAGTACAGCACAGACGAGCGGACGTAGCCCCGTCGTGGCATACCCTCCCCACCCCAACAGCGGTAACATAACCGAACAATTCCAGTGCAAGTTTCGAGCGAATGATAATATCAGGCATTTCGTATAAGGAGGCAGGTGGTAGGTCAAAATTGGTCCTTAATGACCCTGCGCAAGTCATATGTATGGAGTTGCGAATTCACCTCGGGTAAGAGGAATCCTATGATTACGGATACTAGGGAGATTTTCTTGCTCTGATAAATGGGGGAGGAGGGTGCATATAAAGAATTTTTTTGCAAGGAGGTCTTTCATCATGAAGACGAGTTTTTTTCTCGAAGATTTGGATGACCTTAATACTAGTTTTACAATGAGTCCCTTGAATGCTCCTCCAGATTGTTACACAATCTTGTCATACAAAACGAATACAGAAAAAATAAATAGACTTCAATGGAAGAAATTTCGAAGAAAACTGAAATCAATGCGGCTACCCACCTGGCAAAGCTGTGCAGCCAACTTATCTGTTGGGAAAAGTCCTTCCAACTCCGGTCTCTTGAGTGCCACTACAGAGACGAATTTGCCCATGCTAACAGACGCACTGCCCTCTGAAACACAGCCTAGTTGATGGTGACACACACAAGAATTTTTCCAAATCTCAATAACAACGGAGCAAACATACCTTTTGGATGGGCAGCAGAATACAGCGAAGAATTTGATGGCGCATAAAGGACCCGTACACTTCGAACTGCGATATTTTCACCAAGTTTACCAACGGCCATTGCAACCAATTCAGGTAGAGGTTTACCACTCGCATCAACTAACGACTTGTAGTTGTGAAACTGAAAATATCAAGCTATCTGATGGATAGTCAATCTAAGAATGCCAAAGGAATAAAGGCAAGAACGCACCAAGATCGACAGAATGAATCTTGTTTGACGATATTTCTGGTATGTGTTTTTGCGCATAATTTAGCACAGCTTCTACCAGTTGTTCAAGCTGAAGTGTCAGTTATATCACAGATATACATAAGCTAATAAAGTGTTGTTCGCTGCGCATAAAGAGGCGTGTCGGGCGGGACACTAGCACGGCCTGCTCTCCACTAGTTGTGAGGGTAAGACCATGAAAGCGATT